ATATCACCTCAAAGTATATAAATGATATTGCCTTAGGGAAGAAATTACTTAAAATTTAGTCAAAGATTAGACATTACCCAAAAATTAAATGAAGGAACATTTTACTTGACATTCTCAATTTGCAAAATTAAACATTGAGACTTTGGAGTCCCAAAAACTTTCCCTCCACTTTTCCTTCCTTGAATCTTGATTTCCCTTTTTAACCATTTTTGGACCTTTAAACAAATTATTCATTATCAAACTCAGATGTCAATATTTTCAGATTCCCTATGTGCCATGGCTTGTTGATCTAATGGTAAAATTTATGGTACAATCAGGCCTTTGATTTAAAAAGACCAGCTAAGAATCAGCCATATAACATAAAGTAGTGTAAAAATTCGTTTTCTAGTAACTCCCATTTCCTCCCAAATTTTGACATATTTATTTGATTCTCCTCCTAGCTTTAAATAATTTGACTGAATTTTATTGTTTTGTGACCTTTTTAAATTATTTTTTATTGATTTCAGAAAGGAAGGGAGAGAGAGAGAAACATCAATAATGAGAGAGAATCACTGATCAGCTGCCTCCTGCACGTTCCCTACTGGGGACTGAGCCCACAATCTGAGCATGTGTCTTAACTGGGAATCAAATCGTGACCTCCTGGTTCATAGTTCGACACTCAACCACTGAGCCACACCAGCTGGGCTCTAATATCATTCTTGTTCAGCCAATACCATTTATATAATTCAGCTGGTTTTGTAACAGTTTTTGGTGTTTGTAATTAATATATGTCATGAATTTTATAAGAATTGTCTTTGGAATTTTGCATACTCAACAACTCACTTATAAATTCTTAGAGTTAATAAATTAGATGTACAGAAGTTGGCAAAAGTAGGTTTATAGTTGTGAGTACACAAATCAGTTTATTCTTGTATTATTATTGTATTATTTTTATTAATATTAACCTATTTTTGCCACCCCTGTATAAATTTAACTATACCTGAACCACTGTTTGATAAGTGGATATCTTGGAAAGCATATATGTAACTTTTCTCTTTCTCTCCTTGTACCTCAACCCCAACTCCAAAAGCATGAAAGAACAATATAGACCTTTACTCTAAAAACTTAGAAGATTGTATTGCACAGGGCACGTCACAAAGCATGGCAAATTTTAAAATCCTCTTTAAACATCTTTCTCATTTTTAAGGAGCTACTGCAGAACACACACATTCTCTGTTCTCTCTCTCAAACACTTGTGCATACATATGCATACATGCTTTCTCTTTCCTCAATTTTTCCTAACTTTGATATTTTTTATTCCTCTCTGGTCACAGCTCTTTCTCCTTTTTTGTTCACCTTCCTATGGTCTTCTTTTCTTCTATTTCTTTCCTTCTAGCTATCTTCTTCAGTATTTTCTTACATACAGCAATTTGGCATTCTCTTGGCCTCTCTTGCTCCCTATCATTCTTCTCAGTACAGCAGAGGTCTCGTATATAACCACACAAACAGAATATTTTATCCTTTAGAGGTCTGAAGGTTGCAAATATGGACATATCCCATTTAATGCAGTAGAAGAGGGGTTACCTTCCTGGGGAAAATCACACTAATTGATTCAGCACTGTAATGTGTCATTATAATATAGCCCCTGGAGATGTGTTCCTACAGCAATTCTCAATTAATATACAACTGAAGGTCTGTTCAATGACAGCTTTATCATCTCTGCAAACTTTATAATGGCCCTAGTGGTGGGGATGTTTAGGCCTAAACCATGACCCCAAATGGATCTCAGGCAGAGTCTCTCAGGCTGCCTTTTAAAAACCATTTATATAATCTCATGTTTATATAGACTTTGAAAAATAATCATACACTTTGCTAGTAATCGAAAGACCTTCCAAAGAAAATGGGCCACTCAAATCAGGAAACATCATAGAAGAGTAGATCCATACTTATCCGGTCAATTGATTTTCAGCAAATGGTTTAGAAATGACTGTATGTCCATATTTTTAAAAAATAAACCTTATCTCTATGTCACTATACACAAAATTGACTTGAAATGGATCACAGGCCTAAATGTAAAATCTATAACTACAAGTCTTCTAAAAGAAAATCCAAAGTTTAGTGGCTTAAAACAGCAATAATCATTACTTATCTCTCGTGCTTTCTGTGAATAAGGAGTTTGGGAGCAATTTGGCTTGATGGTTCTGGCTCAGGTTTTTTCATGAGGTTGCAGTGAAATGTTGGCTAGGACTTTTGTCATTTAGCCTGTCTGAGAGTACAAGATTCATTTCTAAGGCATATACACCAAATAATTGGAAGCAGATAGTCAAACGAATATTTGTACAATGTGCATTGTAGTCCTAGGTGAAAACAACCCAAATATCCTTCATTGGATGAATAGATAAACAAATTTGGTGTGTATATATATATATGATGGAATACTGTATAGATAAACAAATTTGGTGTGTATATATATATATGATGGAATACTGTTTGGCAGTAAAAAGAAATACTGATTGATGCTACAACATGGATGAACCTAGAAAACATGTTATTTGAAAGAAGCCATCTTATATGGTTAAAATAGTGAATTTTAGCACAATAAAAAAATAAGCCTCCAAAGGGGAGAATAAAGAAAGGAAAAGAAAGCTGTTCTGGATTAATGGATATTAAAAAGACATGACAACTAGATGCCATTTATGATTGTGTACAACATCCTGGACTGGGGGAAATAGCTATAAAGGAAATCATTTGGGAGAGTTGACTAAATTTGAAAGTAGACTATGGATTAGATAATAGTATGTATTAAGTATCCTGGTTTTATTAAATTTATACTGTGGTATGTAAGAGAATGTCTTTGTAGGAAATATATACTGAAGTAATTAAGTATTAAGTGTAATATAACTTCAACTTTCAAAATAGTGCAAAAGAAAATATATATCTATATAAAATGATAAAACAAATAGGATAATGTGTAAGCTATAAGTGAATCTGAGTAAAAAGGATACAAGAGTTCCAATATGGGCCTTTCCACTTTTCTGAGTTGAAATTGTATCAAAATTGAAAGTTACCAACAAAACTAGATTTGTCTTTCTGTATCTTCTGAGTAGCAGCTTTGTCTAGATGATTTTTAGAAAAATAATCTTAGATATGCTTCTGTGACTTAGCTGCCTCTGCCCTTTGATTTTTGTCAACTTCTGGATCCCAATATGTTATTTATTTTTATTTGCTTATAGCATTCTCTCCATAAGATTATTACATAATATGAAGTACTCAGCTTCTGTGCACATTTATTGTTCTGCCTAGTGATGGTATAATTTTGGGATACGATTCTCATTATGTGTATTTTTTCTTATTCACATGCTTTGTTTTTGCAGTATCTTGAATAGTGTAAAAAATTATTTACTTCCTTTATTTTGAGAAATTAAAATATTACCTTCCCAGTGAAAGGCTTTGCTGCTCCTGTTTTCATCCAACAGTATGTTTTTACTGTAATTTGTGTTTAATCTCTTGGTAGAAGGTCCAGTGTGGTATGTGATCTAACCTTAATTTGAACAGATTGGGCTATGTGCTCATTTTTGTTGCTGGCTCAAAGAAATAATCTCTAAATGCTGTCAAGCAGGACCATACTTTCTGTCCATCATGAATGAGGCAGAGAAGCCCTTTCCTGAGTGGGATCTGCCATCAAAACCTGGTACTGCTTTGTTGACATTCAACTATGGATTTTAACCTTTCTGTGGTTACTGTTTCATATGAACAAACAAATATTCAGTAAAGGCTATCAGTGGGCTTACTAAGATCATGGTAATTCACTTGGTACTTGTGTTTTCAGTTGGTTAACTAGTTTTCTTTCCTTTATGGTATATGATGGGATCTTCACTAGACAGAGGTAACCTATCGGATAGTGTGTACCTGGATGCTGGTGTGGTGGTGCTTGTTGGTTTAGTTTTCATGATATTTCTCCCAAGGTTATGTTTGCAATGCTGCTTATTATTTTGCACTTGCATGACATTATTACTTTGATCGTGCTTTGTTGCTTTGGGTTTTTGAAACCTCATATTTTTTTCTTTTCCTTTTCTTTCTTTTCCTTTTTTTTTTTTTTTTTTTTTGGCACCAGAATAATTCCTTAAATATCTTTGGTTGGCCCAGAACTTATGGAAATGAGTTTCAAATCTTAACACTTTATTGGATCCTTTTCAGTTTTTGAAAATATCTTCAATGTCACTACTAAGTTTATAATTCAGCTAGGAATTCAGAAAACGGAGTAAGTTTGTTTAAGCATCCAGGAAGAGACCACTTGCCAGACAGACCATTACTGAAGCTGGTAATTAACTCTCTTTGAGTAATAGCTGCATTTTAGGAGAGTTTCATCAAATAGCTGAAATTAAGAGCTTCCACCACAGTAACAGTAAATACAATGAAATAAACTGATGTCTAGAGCTTGGCGTGCATGTATTTTAGAAATGCTGTTTACTCTGCAAGCTTATCTACATTCCAAAACTAAGATTCTTGGGGGTCATAGGAAAAAATAAAATTAGTATTTCAGAAATTAATTTTCTGAATGTTTATGTCAGCCTTGGTTGCTTACCTCTTCATTTTTAATCACTAGTAGTATAGTTTCTTAGTAAATTGGAACTGACTTCACTTTAGTTTTTTTATTTGTTTGTTTTGATTTTTTTTCATATACTTCTATAGAAGAAGATGGATTGTTTTTAAAACTAAGAAACAAAACTAGCCCTGAACTGGGTTTGTATATGCTAAATGGCAAGAGTTCATAAAATTGAAATTATTTTGCAATGTTCATAGTAAGCCAGTATTGAAGCAAACAAAATTATCTTTTGTCTTATAATTTTCATCATCTTGAAAACTGTAAAGGATCCATTAATTTGGAATGGCCATCAGAAAAATGCCTATGATAAATACCATAAAACTGTCAGATAAATGATGATTCATCTTTAACTATTTGTGTTCTCATTCTACTGTATCTTCTTTTTATCTTTTGCTGGGACCCATATATTTAATAGAAAATTGCCCAGGAACGAGAAAAATTTGCTGATGAAGGCAGTATATTTTACACCCTTGGAGAATGTGGACTCATCTCCTTTTCCGACTACATTTTCCTTACAACTGTTCTTTCTAGTAAGTATAAGCTTTTCCTTTTGTGTGTGTTTGTTTTGTTTATAAGGGAGCACACAGGACTATAAAAAGAATTAGGTTGATTGGAGGGCAGAACAAGACATGTTCGTAAAGTTAATTGATTATGTTACATAAAATTTCACTTATCTGGAATTCTCTGTAACTTGTGTATAGAACCACTTGAAAAAGAAGAAAACTAAAGTATTCAGGTAAAGTTTTAAAAAAAAGCAACTATGAAGTTATAGCTACCTTTAACTGTTTCAAGCTCTGTATTCTGTTGCCTGCTCCTATATAACCTTCATTAATGTTTCAACTTCCCCAAAAAAACACATATTGATCTATTGTTTCTCCCACTAAAGAAGAAAATTGGTTCAGTTCTAATTGTGTTTAATATTCTTTTTTAATCTTGGAGGATTACTATTTAAGACACAAAACTCAAGTTTGACTCATTTAGAGCGTTGATGAATTTCTGATTTTTTTAAGCTAAACAATTTTGTTGATCAGTATGCTCTATGTATTTTATATATATATATATATATATATATATATATATATATATATATATATATATATGTTTTTATTTATTTGAGGGAGAGAGAGAGAGAAACATCAGTGATGAGAGAGAATCATCGGCCTGCTGCCTCCTGCACGCCTCCCCACTGAGGATCGAGACCGCAACTCGGGCATGTGCCCTAATGGGGAATCGAACCATGGCCTCCTGATTCATGGGTTGACACTCAACCACTGAGTCACACCGGCCGTGCTCTATGTATTTCTTAATTTTACTTCCCTTTGGTGTGATTTTTTTTAAACTATTGAGAAAAACTAAACAAAATGTATGTTTCTAGCTCTTTGCGTACACTCTAATAAAATCTACCTAAAATTGAAATTACTTTCCAATGCTCATGTTAAGCCAGTGTTCAAACAAACAAACCTAAATTGAATCAAACAGATCTGGTTTGCATGTTGAAAAGAGGGGATTCCCAGTTTTTTTCCATCTGGGACATATCAAACAAAAATAACCACCCCTTCCTTCCCTTCTCTAAACTAGTCATCTGTAAAGATGAAACTATAAGACAGTTTTTAATAAATGACTTGTATAGTTCTTGTCATGGCTATGACCACTTTTACCCTTCTCCCCTCTGATTGACAGGAAAATGAATAAATATAGACTAGGATGCCTTACCACACCTGTCTATGGGGGACCAAAGTGTCTGAATAAATTCATGTGGTAGACCAGTGCTCTAGCACTGTAAATATACACTGATTTATTATGAAATTCAAAATTGTAAACCAACTAAAAATGCATGTATGATCTTAAATGTGTAGTGTTAGTTATTATTTTAAGGGCATGGGTTTTCAAAACAGGCTTCAGTTCAGATCCTGGCCTCACCAGTTCTTAGCTTTGTGATTAGGGGCAGGTCAGTGAAGTTGTTCATCTGTTTTGTCTGTAAAATGAAGAGGGTAGTAATACCAAACCCAAATTATTTATTTGAGGATTTGGGGATCATGAATATAAACAGTACCTAGTTCAGCCCTGGCTGGTATGCTCAATGGTGTAGCATCAGCCTAGGGTTTGATTCCTAGTCAAGGGCACATCCTGGGTTGCAGGTTTCGATCCTCACCTCGATGAGGATATGTGCAGAAGGCAACCAATTGATGTGTCTCTCACATCGGTGTTTTGTTTTTTTTCCTTCTCTCTCTTTCCCCCTCTCTCCCTCCCTTCCACTCTCTAAAAAAAATCAATGGAAAAAATATCCTCAGGTGAGGATTAACAAAAAAACACCAGCAAAAAATAGTACCTAGTTCAGTGCATAGTTTTTAGTATGTTTGCAATTTGTCTGGATTTTTATTCTTGATATCATGTCATAACATGTTATTGCATATCTAATTTTATTTTTCCCTTTATTGAATTTATTAGAGTGACACTGGTTAACAAAATTATAAAGGTCTCAAGTGCATAATTCCACAACATATCATCTGTACTCTTACTGTGTGTTCACCACCCCAAGTCAAGTCTCCTTCCATCACTATCCTAACTATACCCTCTCCACCTCCCCACATGCCTCTTCCTCCAACAATCACACTGCAGTTTGTGTCCATGAGGGGTTTTTTCTCTCTCTTTTTAAAAATATGTTTTTATTGATTTTAGAGAGAGGAGGGGAGAGGGATAGAGAGATAGAATATTGATGAGAGATAAACATCAATGGGCTGCCTCCTGCATACCCCCTACATGTGCCCTAACCAGGAATTGAACCAGTGACCTCTTGGTTCATTGGTCAACATTCAACCACTGAGACACACCAGCTGGGCTTTTCTCTCTTTTTTTCTTTATTGTTCAATCCCTCTAACTCCCTCCACCTATTCCCCTTCCCCACCCCCCCAAAAAAAAACCTAAACAACTATCAGCCTGTTCTCTTTCTATGAATCTGTCTTTATTTTGCTTTTTAGTTCACTAGATTCCACATATGAGTGAAATCATATGGTACTTGCCTTTCTCTGACTGGCTTATTTCACTTAGCATAATGCTCTCCAGGTTCATCCATGCTGTTGCAAAGGGTAAGATTTCCTTCTTTATTACGGCCAAGTACTATTCCATTGTGTAAATGTACCTCAGCTTTAAAAGATCCAAAAATCTTGTCATTATAAAAACCTAATAGAGCTCTGGCCAGTGTGGCTCAGTTGGTTGGAACATCATCTCATACACCAAAAGGTCGTGGGTTCAATTCCTGTCAGGGCACATACCCAGATTGCGGGTTCAATCCCTGGTCCGAACCCCAGTCTGGGCACTACGGGAGGCAACAGATTGATGTTTCATTCCCAAGTCAATGTTTCTCTCTCTGTCCCTCTCTCTCTAAAGTCAATAAAAGCATATCCTCAGTTGAGTTTCTTTAAAAACAACAACAACAAAACCTAGCAGAATTAGTAGGAATTTTTAAATCATTTTTGTGACTTAAGATAGAATTAAAATTAAATAGGCATGATGTGGCAGAAAAAGTACTACATTAAATGAAGAGACTAACTTGGAAAACTGCATTGCTGTATAATATGTACTGTGGAAGTAATCCTTGTAAATGTTTGTTGAGCTGAAATGAGATTTTAACTTATGCAGGATTACAAAACAGAACCTTCAGAAAACCTGGCATGTATTATAGCTCCCTTAAATGAACCATTTAAAAGCAGGTTTGCATATATTATAGCTCCCTTAGCCCATGAGTTCTGGAAGCCTTACTTTTTGGTTCTTGGGTCCTATCTTAAACATGTTTTATAAACATAGTGGTTTATAAAAGTGCTTAGTATTATGATGTCAAATACTTTCTGTTTTTGTCAGGAATGAGAAAATATAATAAGGATATGATTTTAAGATTTTCTTTTTATCACTGTTTTTAAGCATTTTAATTATTATGTACCTTTAGTGTTTCTCAACATTACTACTACTAATGTTTGGGCAGGACAGTTCATTCTTGTGAGAGCTGTCATGTGCATTGTAGCATGTTTAGCAACATCCCTGGCCTCTACCCACTAGATGCCAGTAGCATACCCTCTCCTTCTCCCAAATGTGACAACCAAATGTGTTTTCAGGATTTGCCAAATGTGCCCCGGGTGAGGGGTGAGGGGGCATGGGAGGAGGAATCATTCCTGGTAGACAACCATGATGTTGTTTTCGGCCCGTTGTTTTGTTTGTTTGTTTGTTTGTTTTGTTTTACTATGTGCCTTGATGTAGTGTTCTTCATGTTTCTTGTCTTGAAGTTGTTTGAACTTTTTGTATTTATAGGTTTATAGTTTCCATCTAATTTGTAATCATTTCAGCCATCATGTCTTCAAATACTTCTTTGCTTTTCTGTCCTCTCCTTTGGTGACTCTGATTACAATATATTTTCCTTACATCAACCTGATAATGTTTACACTATTATTACCTTCATTTTACAGACGAGGAAATGTAACAGAGGTTTACATATAAAAAACTTGCCCCGAGTCCCACAGTAAATAGGTGATGCAGGGTTTGAACCCAGGCCAACCACAGTATCTGGGCTCCTGTTGCTTTGTTTTACTGCTGTGGTCACATTTTCAGCATTGATAAGCCATAAATTAGCATAGTGCCTCTAAGGCTGGACTGTGAAGAGACTAGGCCTTAACTCTTCTGTAGATAATGGGCATGTTGAATGTTGTACACTGCGTTGTCCACTTTCTCTAATAAGCCACAGGGGGAGATGTACCACAGAAATTACACTGAGATCAGTTCTTTCCCATGTCCAAATTGCTGCTAGGATGATAGGAAGTGAGGCACTCATTGGATCAACTTCCTGTGAATAACAAGGGATCATTACAGTCTAGATGCACTAAATGGTGGACAACAGGGCCTGTCCTTGAGATTTCCAACAGACAACCAGCCAGAGCAATGTGAATGGCATAACCCTGATAATGCAGGACTGTCATATTTATTCTTAATTTATTTTATTTTTTAATTGATTTTAAAGAGAGGAAGACAGAGAAAGATTGATGTGTGAGAGAAACATCAATTGGTTGCCTCCCTCACATGCCTGGCTGGGGATGGAACCCACAACGTGGGTTTTTGCCTTGACCAGGAATCAAACTCACCACCTTTTGGTATACAAGATGACATTCCAACCAACTGAGCCACATCAGCCAGGCAGGACTGTCATATTTCTGATTAGCTGTTTTTTGCAAAATTAATTGACTCAGTGTTCAAGAAATTGCCATCATATTGAAGAATATGAACATTCTGCCCAACTGGATTGACATTTGGAAACTCAAAGTACTTTCAGAACTACACTATGTTGTCAAAAATAAAATTTGAGGAATACATATACATGTATATACACATACACACATATATATAGAATAAATCATTAAATTTCTTTCTTGATTTATAACTACCTCTCCTAAAAATAAAATTAACAAAGCTGCTTCTCTAAAACATATTATCTATATATATAAAAGCCTAATATACAAATTGTCCCCTCGGGTGTTCGGCTGGGAGT